TAATTGTAAGTTATTGATCATATAACAAACGTGTCAGACATAAGTTGTACATCTAGACAAGGAGCATGTTTTATATTCTACTATTTTGTTTGTGTGCCAAACGGTTTCCGAAAAAATAAAAAAAAGCTCGGGAAAAATTGTTTGAATTATGAAGCAAATTGTTAATAGCTGATCTTACATCAAATCTGTAGCCATTCTGGTTACCAAAGTTTGTTTATAACAAGCATTCGACAAAATTTTTTTTTTTTTTTTTTTTTAAGGTCATCGGAATTGCATCCTCTAAATGTAACTTTTACCAATAAAAATCATTAACAGTAAAATCATATTCAATAACTAATCTGTTAAACAGTAAATATTTCGGTCATGAATATTCAGATAGGTAAAATTACACTATTCAGCAAATTTTGTTTTCTCAACCTCGTAATTTTCAATAGGCGTTTTTCATAGATTTGTATGAGCTGCATAAGAATCTGTAAGTCGTTTATTCCCAGCACGTGCAGTTTTTGAATAATTACATTTTTTTTTAAATTGCAAATTTTCAACTTTGGAGGTGTGTTGTGCTTCTACAGTAATAGTTATTTGGTTGCTTTTGACATCAAATAATTTTCTGGACTCTCTCGAAGAAAATTATGTAAAGTGTTATTATATTATAGACATTTAAATATGTTTCAATAATGATAAAAATGAAAAGGACACAGAAAACGCACCACTTTTTGCTGATATTCTTCAATTTATTTCAAAAACTATGGGCGTAGGGGAAAATCTAACCATAGTATGCGATAGAGCAGACCTTCAGGCAATTGCTATTCATGATTTTATTCCGACTAAATCAGTCGAAGCTCTTACATTGTATAATAATGACAAACAAATACTGACAGAGATTTGATCCCCTGAATGTTGGAAAAGTGACGATTGCGCAATTTAAAAGAGGGTTAGATGGTCTTCAGATTTCCACCTTGGGACGTTTGTATCTTGCAAAACCGGAGATTGACGTTCTGGTTACGTTTTATAAAGATCCAAACGATCCGGATCGAGTGTGCTGGCGTACATTTGCAGATGATATCGATCAAGGTATTAAAAATTTACTTAAAAATATGTTAAATGTTGAAAATATATAGTTCAACTCAAAGGATATATGTACTCGAATAAGGGAGTCAGAAGTATCCTTAGACCGAATTGGACTTGTGAAGGACCATTCGATAGCTTACAGAGAAAAAACAATTTGTACCAGTTGATATACTCTCTTAATATGTACTACCTTTTAATACTCTCTATCTTGATCAAGAGGATAGTATCTAATAGGGAGAAACCGCATTATCCATTTTCCTTCTAGTTTCTGTATATAATCGCATGTAAAGATTCTGTAAAAGATTTGATAGATTGTGGTTACCGGGGCACATGTTAGAGAATTTTTTCCGATTTTAGGTTGAGAATCCTAGTTGTAAAAGATTAGAAACGCTAAAAAATACCGAAAAATTCGGATTTCTTATTGATGTTTTAAAATTCATATAATTATTACAGTAACAGCATATTATCATAAGTATTGTCCACGATTTTTTGCAAACTTTTTGGTAAGGTGCACTGTAGTTGCAAAAATGAAAAACCCATTTTTTTCGACGTCTTTTTGTGAAAGAGTAACTTATGATTTTAATTTTTGTATTTCCTTTATTAAATATGTATATTTTACGATATTAAGTATTTCGATATTCAGCAAAACAACATATAAATTAAAGAAGATAAATAAACTCAATAGAAACTATGTTGCATGTGTTATATTCTAAACTACCTGACGTACCCGCCCTTGCATGGGCTTGTGTTTAGTTTGTGAATTAAATTTTAGTTCGTACATAAAGATAGGTTATAATATCATGAATAAATAAGCAACATAAGATTTTAGATTATGGGGTATAAACTATCATAACAGATAATTGTACTATATTACAAATTTGTTTTTAATTATTGCGTGCGCAAGCACACAGTGCCTCTGCGTTGGTCTCGCACATCACTATAGTAAATCCTCAAGAGTGTTCGAAGGCTCCTCGGCACTGACAAGGAGGGATCCTCAGGTGTAACGCTGACTTTTTAATGAGGTTTAGTAGAGTGATAGAACTTGGAATTATGAAGCCAATGATATTTCTTTCAGTGGCATATGACCATTAGTATGTGAAATATTTCGTGTTCATTGCCGAGGATCCTTCGAACACTCATCGAGGGTATACTGTACCGTTTTGCCAAGAACGCCGCCGATTTAGTGGCTAAGTCCTGTTTCACACATACATTCTTTAATATTTTCTGTCAATGATCCTACTTGAACAAAAGTAATCAAAAAGCCTGTCAGATATTCAAAACTCATCCAGCTTTCAAAATCTGTCGAAACTTTCAACACTTTCCAAACTTTCAAGACGATTAAGACTTTTAAGACCCATGACCTATCAATACGTTCAAGAGTTTTAAGCTTTGAATCAGATTCGAAGTGATTCGAATTTGTTGCTCGAATTCAAGACAATTTCGAAACGGTGCCGTAGAAACGGACACCGCGTATGTGTGAAATGGGCCTTTTTGCGAAGTCGAAAAAAATTCTCTAACACGTGCCCCGGTAACTACATTTATCAGATTTTTTTTACAAAATCTTTGCATGCGATTGAAAAGGGGAAATAGAGGAAAAATGAAATAATCCAAATTTTCCCTGTTTCTACTCTTTTGGTCGAGATAGAAGATTGAAAATTGGTCCACGTTCTTGGTAAGCTATCGAAAGGTCGACCACAAGCCCCATTCGGTCTAAGGGCAATTTTGGCTCTCTTATCCGGCTGTACCGTTTAATGTTTTCACGAAACTTACTTTTTCATTTAATGTTGTATGTATTTAACGCCCTCAGTATTTACTGTCAAGGAACTTGAAAAACTGCCAAATTTGAGAATTGATTCGCCGCCAACAGAAATAGCAAAGTTGAGAAGGAGAGGAGCGCCAAATTGGCAATGTGAGACAAAAAATATAAGAGATCTTTGTGAAGATGCATTACAAAAAGTCCGACATCGTGTCAATGAACGAAGAATTTGGATAAAGCAGTTTTTTAAAGATTATGACAGGTACACTCATTTCAGTTTTTTATTGATAGGCTATTGTACATACAAGAATGTCGAATGTTTTTAATCGGGATATTAAATTTTTGCACACGAAATGATTGATTTTATTGATCCATATAATTGATAATTTACTGTGTTTTATGACATGGCTTCACAAATATAGTCAATATCAACTTTGGACGTGTGTTGTGCTTTTACAGTAATAGATATTCAGTTTTTTTGACACGAAATAATTCTTTGAACTCTCCTAAACAAAATGATGTAAACTGTTATTATATTAAATTGAAAAGCATACCGAAAACGCACCAATTTTAGCTGATATTCTTCAATTTATTTACAAAACTAAGGGTCTATGAGAAAATCTAACTATAGCATGCGATAGAGCGGACCTTTCTGTTAACCCCTTAACCTACGATTTACTTATCACATATTCTACAAATATTTATAACTTTAGGAGGGCGCCGCCGCTAATATTTATATTTGGCCCGATTATCGTATTACAGGTTATGCCTGTAATATTCACTTTTGGCCCGATCATCTACTACGGGCTATGCCCGTAGTTGTAGGTTAAGGGGTTAAGGAAGGTGTCAAGGAAAGTTACAAAATCTGTATTGTTTTCATTAGAGAAGCGAAATGTAGTTCAGCAAAACACGTAACGGCGGCAGTGGTACTTTTTTCAAAATAAATGGAAGAATATCAGCAAAAGCTGGTGTGTTTTCGGGGGTTTTTCCCCTTCAATTATTATTTAAACATATTTAAATGTCCATAATATAACAGTTACATAATTTTGTTCGGGAGCGTCCAGAGAATGATGTATTTCTTGACAAAAGCAACTGAATAACTGCTACTGTAAAAGCACAACACACATTCAAAGTTAAATTTTGCAATTTAAAAAAAAATTGATTTTTGCAAATACTTGGCCTGCTGAAAAAAAAACGGATTGCAGTTTCGTATTCAGCTCATAAAGTTCTATTAGAAACTTTTATTAACGGTTATGAGGTAAGAAAAAAAGAAAAATGTGTTGAACAGTGTTATCAGTCGTCGTGTTATTAGATGCTCATTGTCAGTTAATTTTATAGTAAAGATTGTTATTTTCAAGGGATAATTCATAATTTATTTTTTCCCATACCATCCAAGTCCCTATGTCAGGATAAATTCCTTAAATGTATTGACCAAGACAAGGGACAAGCAAATGAGTAATTAGTTGCGAAAATTCGCAACAGTATAGATGCACATTGCCATTACCTATGTAGTTTTATCAGCCTTGGGGGTGCCAGTGACCCCATAGTGGCATATTGTACGTACGAAAAATATAACAGTGCCGTTCTGGGATTAATGGTATAAGACATAAGACATAAGAGTATAAAATTTAGAAGTTCATAAGCATAGCTCTTCCGAAGTATACAACAGATAAAATAATAATATCACAAGGTTGGTCATAAACTTTAGGTATTAAGAGAATTTCGCCTGGAGTTGGAAGTAGGTTTGTAAATAAAAGACTATGTCAACACCTATTTTTAATGAACATTTGTTCTAAAATAAATTAATAAATGTTCATTAAAAATAGGTTTTTGGTGTAGTTTTCTATTTACAAACCTACTTACAAATCCACCCAAAACTCGCTTAACAGAGTACAGGACTATTGAACGATTAAAATTGACGGTTACTTTTGGGTTGGATCTCTTAGATACCAAGTAATCGTCAGATTTGTACTTTTTACAGTCTATTGTGTACGCTATTTCAAGTAATTTCAAACAAAAGAATTGACAGTAAGTTGCAAATTATTGTATTTATTGAGCGCTGAACATGATTCTGTACACTGCGCAACTATAATCCGTATACATTAGGGTGGTTGTTATTTTCAACATCCGAATTTTTTCTGCAGTAACCCCCAAAATAGTTCCAATCAGTAAAAAAATAATCTGTGAAATGAAGTTTGAGCTGAATCACATAAGGGGGAAAGGAGCCCCTGGGCCCTTAAACATTTGAATAATTACTCAACAACACTCAAAGTTGACGTTATTCTATTATCCTATAATTGTAAGTTATTGATCATATAACAAACGTGTCAGACATAAGTTGTACATCTAGACAAGGAGCATGTTTTATATTCTACTATTTTGTTTGTGTGCCAAACGGTTTCCGAAAAAATAAAAAAAAGCCCGGGAAAAATTGTTAAAATTGTTTTACTTTGATAATAAAGACTAAAAAAATGTGTATTTCGTAATTTGGAATGCTAAAGGACTATTTTTTAGAATCTTTTACCTCGTCAGTGGTAGAAGTTATGCAACTCTGGTATAAATGAAACAAATTTTGTTGGATTCAAATATTAGATATTTTAATTCAAAGAATAGGTATAGGTACCTAGAAACAGGTACGCACAAATCGTTAAAAAATCAGGTTTTACCAAAACTTAAAAAAGTTTTGTGATTACTTGATCCTTAATGCCCCAGGATTACATTGAGATAGTTAATAATGTCACAATCCGAAATTTAAATTTTAGTCCATGTGTTTTATGACTGTGCATCTACACGCCAATACGGCTTGGTGAGGCCATTATTAAACTGCCAACTTGAATACGTTTAGCGCTATGACTACTCCAATTATTCGAATTTTTTCATAATTTTTTCTTTAAGCATGTGTCTTCCAGAATCACTAATAAAAAAATGTTTTTTTTTTATTTCAACAGTATTATACCCCCTGGACAATACTGCTCTTAGCAAAAAGTTCGACACTATATAATATTCAATATAGTGTCGAACTGTATTCACTATATAATAATCAACAGGCTTCTATTCCAGTTCTGGATATGTATTACGTTACTTATACTCAGCAGTTCAAAGAGATTGGGCCCCGGCTGTGGAACATAGTGTAGTGAATATTCAGAGCTCATGCCCACCGAAGAAAGTTAAGAATTTATATGTAGAAAATAACAGAAAAATAATTTTGTTTATACATGACGCATCGATGAAAATTTTTCTCTTGGTGGTGTAATAGTTTAAAAGAACTGAACAATTTCTATATTTAAAGTTTTGTTCTATCTCGTACCGTTACAAAGTTACATTTAAAAAAAATGAAAAAACGTAAAACATTCATGTTAATTTTCATTAAAATCAAAATTTTCGGGTTCGGAACCTTCTCTTGTGAGTCCGAATCGAAGAAAAGGACAGCGAGTGAAATTCGAAAAGGTAGTCAGAGTCAGCCAAAGAGCAGCCAAAAAAATACAAAAAGCTACGAATCCGTGAGAACATGTTAATGCAACGATGAAACCTTTTTATTTCCGGTTCTTCGTTCATACAACTCTTCTTAGGATACTGGTAAGATTTTTCTGATTAAATTGATACCACACATGAAATAATTTGGATCATATTTACTTACAAAATTATATCATGTTTGGTATCATTTTAACCAGAAGAATCTCACTAATATGTTAATAAAGTTTTCATTAATTGAGAATCAAAAATAAAAAAGTTTTAAAGTTCCATTTGTGTTGTCACATCGATACGCGGCGTTTTAAACTTTTTTCTCTGCCTCAGCTCACCGTCGACTCAAGGACGGAAAGCGCACGTGTTTACATTTTCGCTCGACTGTTCCAAGGGGATTCCGCCGGAATCGTCGAATACGCTCAGTATTTTTACTCCCGCTGGTAAATCGAAAAATTTATATGTATAGCTTAAAACGATTCCCGAGAATTGCACTACACGATGAAACAAACCGTATCGAAGTTGATCTAGTAGTTCTTAAGTTATAAGCGAACATAGGGACAGACAGACTTTCTTTCATACATATACATACATATGCATATAAGGATACTTCTGACATTTAGTTTGTGTAGTAGTGTGTAGAAGTTCACCGGTTTATAGTCCAATATTAATAACATTGAAAAGTATACTGCCTAGAGTGGGGTTCACCGGTGACCCCCACGGCATTCAACGTGTTAATAATACTGACTTTTGCCTTGGGCTCTGCAGACTCTAGGGGCGGCTCTACTTCTTAATGTCTAAGGTTGTTGAATACTTTTGTGAACAACTGTGTCTGAAATAAAAAAATCTGTACATCTCATTACTAATATTTTGACATTTCGTAGAAATAACAAAGGTCACGTGTCACGGTCCCAGTTACGTCAAGTTTTTACCACCGCGACAGTTTTGCTTTCCCAAGAAGAAGAATATGCATTGGAACAAAGATATATCGACGATTTAGGCTTCAATTACATCTGGTTTTTAAAAGAGTTAGAATCGAAACCAGTTGAGTCACCGCTTTATGATTCTGTGTTGGAGGAAAAGAAGAAAATCAATTCTGAAAAACCGGCTTCGAAAGCTGATATGAATGAAACAAACATCGTATTAATTTTAGCTAAAATTAAGGCCAAGGTTGTACGAGGAAGAGTAAAAGTAAATTATTTGATATTTGCATTTTAATATTTTATTTTCTAATACATTTTCCGTATTTGTATTTCTGTCCCAAAATTTCGTATTTCTATTACCTTTGGAGAACATTTAATTTTATTGGAAATGCAAGTTATATTTTTTTTATCTGTTTAATTACTTAATGGATAAACTTCTGAAAAGCACCCACACGCGGTGACCTTGACCTTGATCAAGATCACTCTCCTGAATAACCTCCAAAAGGTTTAAACCGCCAATCGTGGACTATAAAAAGTTACGAACAAAAAAATGCTTGAACTGTCTCTAACCAACTCCGATCAGTGTAATGTTTCAAAATTAATTAGGGATAGTTTAAGAAAAAAAAATAATTCAGAGTTGGTTAGAGACAGTTCAAGAAAAAAGGTATCATTATTATCACCGCGGATTTTTCGCGGAGTTCAACGACGAAATAAGCAAGTACTTATTCTACCAGTTTGTTTTTTAAGGGGGGAGACTCCTTTGGGGCCAACTCCGAATCGATCGAAGCGCTGATATAATCAATCGGACACTAACGAAAACACATAATCGATAATTGGAACAGCTTAATAATATGACATCTAACGGCAATACCCACAAATAAATTTTTTTCCCCATTACCATCAAGTTGGGTTTGTGTATTTACTACGCGAAGACAGTGTTGCCTGACAGTATCGATTTTTGACAATTCTGCCCATCAGGAGAACGATGGAATACCTACGGCTCGTGGCGAGATTTCGACTCTCGCCGAACATAGGAACAGAATGGTGCGACTGAAAGAGATTCAAGAATGAAGCAATACTTACGTACTAATGTGTGCAACGATAAACCTTTTCTATTTGTACTAGCAATGATGCTAATTTTTTTTATTACATACGAAATACTTGAAATGGCATTCCCGAGAAACAATAGTTATTTATCATTTATTGACCTAATTAATGGAGATGTTATATACTTACACATATATTTCATAAAAAGATGCAAAAACTCTCTTGTATCGCGTATACATACATGGTTCCCGTTGATTGTGTGAGTGCACGGACACAGCACACGGGCCACGGAGTCTCCCCCCTTAACTAGCTCTAACTAATTCAGAACAATATAATGCTTTGAACAGTGTTTTTTTTTAACTACATACCTATGGTCTGTTTTTCGAAAGAAGAGCCCTGGGAGGTAGGCCCGACTTTTCGCGGTGTTGTCGCGATTGCGAGACATCTACGGCACTTGCATCTCTCTCACTCTTTGCGTCTTGGCCAATGACGTTCGACCGTCGACGTGCGTCCTCGTCTACGGTCGTCTGACTGCATCGTACGCATTACAAACCTCTCGAGAAGGACCTACCTACAATCTCAAGTAGTGGGGACTGCGTTCGGCACGCGCCCGTCAATCATCCATTGCCTGCAAATAGCGGGGAATGTTGAAGAGACGCTGAACGTTGTCACACGTCAAAAGTTAAAATACACGAATAAGAAAAAGTATATTTCTTTTGAAAGAATGTATTATAACCAAATATTGAGCAACATATGAAAAGGGGAATAAATTAATACGAAGGTTATTATACGCTACACGTGGAAATCGCAGGGTAAAGAAGGAAGTTGGTTTACCGAGAAAGAGACACACAGTGGCATTGAGACCGTGACAACGTCGCACGAAATACGCAGCTCGCGTTGGATCTTGGATCCCCACCAGGCCACGTGCCGAGGTAGGGCGACCCCCGAAGGCTCTTCTTTCGGAAAACAGACCATAGCTCTAACCAACTCGGATCAGCATAATGCTTTGAACAGTATTATTTACAGATAGTACGTTACAAAAGTTCAAATTTTGTTTTGTGAATAACTTTTTAATAACTAGTGATCAGCGGTTCAAACCTTTTACAGGTTACTCGGAAGGGCGACTTTGATAACACATGTGAAAATTAGGGTCATTAGGGTGTGAGTACTTTTCGGATGTTCACCTTTTTTGTAATTATGTAGAATAGGGTCCAGCTCGCCGATTTCAATGACCTTGATATATGTATGTTATAAATGTCAATATCCTTATTAATTTTATATGTATACTTTAACATGTAACCGCCGCTATTTAGTTTCGAAGTTATGCGCATATTTTTAACAACATGTATAGTATTTTTTCAAGGTGCTGCATAGTCTACAGCTCTAATATTGTCATACATGTCATACACTGTAAGATCATTGTCTCTGGGAATTGCTCGATGTTTCTTTACTTTTCGTAATTCGAGATAATTATTTCCCTATACAATCAGCTTCAAATGTTTTGAATGTTTACTTACTCTTGTGTCTGTTTCAGTAAATGTAACCTGTCTGTTTACTTCACGAAACATTTCTGTTCTAAAGCAATAATAAACATAAATAAAAGGGAATTACACGAATTTTTGAGTATATGCAATAATTACAACAAACTAATCAGTTCTTTGATTAACCCTTCTATTGTGTTCATAAATACGTACGCCTATTATGTTCGGGTCATATAGACCCGATAAAGAAGTACATGTATAATTTTATAAAATGGACAATAATACCATGACTGTATTCTTGTAGGATAAAGAGATACAATTATTATGAAAATATACAACACAATAAACATTTATTTAAAGAATTATTAAAAAAGCAAAAGAAGGATAAACACTTGAAACTGATAAAGTATGCTTGTGACTTCAGGATTCAAGTTGATATTTTCTGATCTATGACGACCAGACCGATGTGGAGGTATCGATGACGATATTATTTTTCCACTTTTGGATTCACATGTATTATCTGCAGTTCCTTCATTACATAGTATACGTGTTTAATTCACTAAACTAGAAGATGTATCTCTAGCACCTGATAAGTTATCTTCAGTTACTCACGTACTAAGATCCATATTCGATATCACAATCGGAAAAATATTCAAAATTGTTTTCACTCATTTTCGGACAACTAACTGCTACGACTATGTACTTGCTTGTGACTGAAGAAATTTACTTGTGGCGAATTTCGTTTTCAATCACGGCGTTTCTCACTGTTCTCAGATAACCAATACATTGTTGTTAGTGGAACGACGTTTTTTTTAGTGACCCGAACGTAATAAATGTAACAATTATTGTTATATATATTTATAATAAATTTCATGAAAAATTCTTTCAACATTTGAAAATATACATGGAAGTTAACAAAGTCAACAAACCTGTACGCAATCGAAGTCTAAATAAGAAAGTAATATTAACTTAGAAATTCGATCGGGTCATATAGACATAGACCCGAACACAATAGAAGGGTTAAATGAAAAGTAATGCACAGTAACATGAATAACGTTAAATATGGAAATGCAATGAAATTCGATTGTAATGAGTTAATATTTAAGTGTAGTATAGTGTTTTATGTTAAAAAAACAGAATAAGAAGCGTGTTACAAAAATTGCAACATAAAAATTAATTTGTAATTAGGATTTTTGGTTTCATAATATACGCCTTCCTTTTCAAGACATTTGTCGATTTATCGGTTATCAGTTATCATATATCGTTCAGTCAGACTACCGTGACGGGAATTTTAGAAAATGAATTGGGCACTTATCCAAATACAGCTATTGATTGGGCTAGTTTTGGTTGGAAATTATATTTATGTTTTGTGGGTGGAGAAACGCTTTGTCTAGATCGAGGGCGAAGCGAAAGTGTCAAGTGGAAATACAATCAAGGACGTCTCGTTACTAAACAGTGGATTTTTGGTAGCATCGAGCGTTCAAGCAAACGTTCATTTATCGAATCTGTTTGTAATATATCTTCTGAGACTTTACTTGATGTTATACGCAAATATTGCAGATCAAACCCGGTACCACCATCATTTCTGACTGTTGGAAATTTTATAAATTCTGAATAAAAATGTATTGATCTTCATACGTTCTAAACCTAATAGTTAACGACATATTTACAAAATAAGTTTTAATACATATATAGGGTGTTTAAATATTAAATAGATGCTTCCTAATCCTTAGATCGGACGTGGCAGTAACATTGCTTGGCTAGTTCGCTCGCCAGATTTAACGCTGCTCGATTAGTTCCTCTGGGGAACATTAAAAAATGAAGTTTATCGCGAGCCACCAACGACGACGGCCGAAGATATGCGAGAATATATTATTAGTACATCTGCCGCAATAATTGCAAAAGCACTAGAAAAAGTTCTTCGCTCATTCATAATCCGGTTACGCAAGTGCATTGATTGTAATGAACAACACTTCGAACACCGCTTGTTGCCGTTGGTGTTTCTGTTTGTCGTTTTGTTGAAGGTGGATAGTCTATCTTTTGGATGCATGATTCTGTTCATTTTGCGATTTATTTTACTTCTAGAGAAACCGTTCTGTTGTAAGGTGGTTCTAACATAGTTGAGTTATAGCAAAGACCAATGGATACTTTCCCGGAAAATACCGGGAAACGTTGGAGATGCTGAAACATCGTAATAACATCAACAGAGATACAGGCTACCACCTGAACCCAATCTAGAGATCCCTCCTCCCAATTTTTAATTTTTCAGCTGACCAATTAACATTTCTTCTGATTGGTAAGCAATGAACAGGAACATGAGCAAGCTCCAGTATATTAGAGGAGCACCACAAGGCACACATCAGTATCAGTGTGTTTTTCGATCCTCTAATGAAGGTAGCTGCAATGCTTGCGAAATGTTGAGAAAACAATTCCACAAGGACACGGCTTACACCCGAAAGCCTCAACAGTAAGAACTGTAAGATGTCGGGCCGTGAAAGGCTCAAATCTCTACTTAGTTTTCAATGATTTGATATTAATTACTTAAATTACCTTCATAACATATATCAAAATCATTGGCAGGGTGGACTCTATTCTATATAGTTATCGCTTCTTTTTTATTATGTACAAATTGTAGTTGTTATACGTATCTTAACTGACCAGTGTTGAAATTTACCAAACTTTGACACAATACTATATCTCTATTTTTAATGACACTGGAACCCAAAATTGTTATATAACATTAGTACAATCGTCTATGGTTTCATAATCTAATGCTATGGGTTTTGTTTTATGTGTAGGTAATCGAGTTCATGCGTCAATATGATCTTCATAAAGAGTTTGTTATAAAAAAGACTGAATTTTTACGAGGTCTCGATCAACTCCGTTGTAATTTAACTTGTACAGAAATGGCGACTCTGATAAATGTTTTTCGATCACCTTTCAGGTACAACATTTATTATATTGATTTTAAAATTGAAAATGAACTTACTCATGTGGAGTTACACACAAACTTTGAAAGAATTGATTTTATTATAAACATTTCTTTTTTAAGCGGTTGTTTTTTAATTAGATGTAACATTTCGATTAAATTACTTTATTCTTAATTATTATAATCGTGTTATATTAATACTGTTAATGTAAAAAAGTCTTATAATACAAACATTAAAGAAGTTTAATTAAATTTAACTTTATCCTAGATCTGATCAGGTACGCTGTGGAGAAAAATTCGTTTCTATAATTCTTTTTAATTTAATTTAGTTTTTGTTTTTGTAGATCGTTTCATAAAATATAATATATAGCATTGACGTTTTTTTTTTTTCATTTCTCTAGAAATTTAAGTTGTTATACGTATCTTCTTAATAATTTTATAATCGATTATTTAATCATTTTAAAATTGAAGGAAGTGACTTGTGAATGAATTTTGAGCAGCGTTTATGATACGAATGTATTAATGACACATTTGACAATGTTGAAATTACAAGAACTAATATCCCGTTGAACATTTTATTTTAAAGACCAGATTACGTGGATTACGTAAAGTTTGGAGATGCTGTTGAGGAAGCTGTTGCCACTGGAGGTCTAGAACGAGAACCACTGTTAACGCCAGTGCAGCATGTCCCCCCGGAAGCTTCTCCTAAAACATTCTTGAATTTCGATGAGAGACGTATGGTTACGATAGCAATGGACAAGTTGTCCACGATACAACAGCCGAACCTCGAAGAGCTATTCCAGGTAAGTACACATATACAAAATATACCATTGAAAATAATTAGGGAATATTATATGCAAAAATTGAATTGTGATATTAAATTGTAATATTTCAAATTAGACATTTATTCACTTATATTTTAAGAATTTTAAATACTGAATACTATAAATATTTAACTAATGTTATAATTGTAAAACTTTAAACATAATGTTAAACATAAAACAAATACGTATTCCTTGATATGAACTATGAGTGAGACAAAATCGTGGAAATTGAACTTAAAGGCATAATAGGGTGAATAAGAACTCATAGACTAGTGAGAGTAGATGAAGTTTTGCTTAAATAAAAAACTGTATGGGGGAGAAACGAAACATATAATTATCATATTAATGCAAATTAATTCTTTAATATGCAATTCGTATTCTTTTGTTTCAGGATTACGACAGAGAAAATATCGGTACTGTCTCAAAAGAGTGCTTGATCAAAGCACTTTCCGTCAGACGTATGCTACAATTAATTAGTATCAGAGAACTTGACACTGTGCACAAATGTTTCTCCATTGAAAGAGGTGGTCGGTTGGAAATCGATTATCGGGCACTTTTACGAGCCTTGTATCTCATGCGGGAAAACAAGAAGCATGTTCCCTTCTAAATTGTTCACTCAATCACGCAAAAATTAAAATCTAATGAATAATTTTAAAATCCATTAATAAAAAAGAGTTTTATATAAATTATTTTTCTGGAATGACTTGAATTTTATTATTAAAAAGAAACATAAGTAAAAGTTTCCAAATGAAAAAAAAAATATCACAAATCAATGCTGTACGGTTTAACATTATTTGATTTTAATTTATTGTTTAAGAAATAACAATGACCGTAGGTAACAAAAATGAGAAATTATATTGAAGTATGATATTATATAATATTCTTGATAAAAGCAAGATTATATTTATTGATGCTTCAGGAGAAAATATGTTATATAGGTATTTAGAATAAATGAAAACAACATGAGTGATGTCAAAGCACAAAATTATTTAATTTTTTTTTAGCTATATTATGTTTTAGCATTTACTGCCTATCGAAAATGAACGGACTCATTATTTATTCAATTTTAAACTGATTTACTGTAGCAAAAGAAGATATTCTAATTATTATGGAACCTAATAAAAAGACACAGTCGATTGAAGGAAGGAAACTGTTTGTTTAACTGGTCATTGTATTATACTATTACTAATAAACCTGAATTTTAAAAAAGCAACACGTGATTTGAATAAACACAGAGAAGGGATGGTAAATAGGATAGAAACTACTTCGTTGATTAAATCCATTCAGTTAAAAGTTATTTCATTACGCTCTACTCGGGAAGAACGGAACTTTCCGTGGGACATAAATCACCAGATGCTATTTTAAGGATCGTTTACACCTAGAACATTTGTCGGCGGACACAGGTTTGCGGACGAAGTCTTCCGACGTCGCCGGATAGTCGGAGGACTGGCTATCGACATTGTTCACACACAGGCAGGGACTTAAACCGGTATGATTTTGATACCGGTATTAGGCCATCAACGCTATACCGAAACCGATATTACCGAAAACTGCTATATAAATATCGTTATTTTTACGGTTTCTATAAGAGCATGGCTTATACAATAGGATTATATAGGGCGAAGGTACAACCGAGAATACCGGTATAATATCAAGTTGGAGATTTAATACCAGCAAAGATCAACGTGACAATGTTTATCAACATCACCGATTTTGCGTATGGAATCGTGTATGGAACACTTACGTTAGTGAATGGAAAAAGTCTTACGGAAATCTTTACGCACAGACTATTTTCAAGAAACAAAGTGAAATTATTCGTTAATTATTAGGTTTACGGCTAATAAAGGTCAGTACTTTTTTACTTAAAATGTAACGCTCTTCGATACTTTGGCATAAGAAATAAAGCATTTCATTTAAAAAAACGATGTTAATCTTCAAATCTCCGAAACGCCGCACTTACAAAAAGAAATATATGCATTACATAATGCATCCTTCCGAACCATACAACTTTTCTCTACAAAATTTTGTCATACAAGAAGTTATTCAGGGCGAACAAGTTGCGTAGACCACCCTGTATATGTATATGTATACATATGCATATAATCTCTCGTGCGGTGAAATAGCTTTCCTTATAACCGTAGCTTTCTTTCTATTAACGGAATAACTAAAGACAGAAGCTTTATATAAGTTTCTTCGTTCATCTTTAAAGAATTGTTCCAACCTGTAGGTGTAAACCGCAATTCATTTAATAAGTTTACATGTAAATAAACTTTTTTTTCATCAAGCATTTGGCAGGAACCTGTACAGGCATCGGTCGGCCTCCGCAGGTCGGACTGTTCAGGCGAAACTGTCAGTCGGCCGGAACGTGTGTAACGGCCTTAAGGGTCCGAATTTTATGACAGGGAAATTTTACCCGCGTAGCGAGCCAATGGCCGAACTGAGGACCAACCTGCGGTCTTTTATGTAGCTCGAATTCGCCTTTAGCAATCGATGACGACCAGACCCTGAAGTTCTTGTGCAGGTAAATTAAGAAAAAAATGCATTAAAGCAAAAATTCCCAAACCATGTACAGAAAAATTAAGGATTGTTTTTTGAAATTCGGATTGAGTTTAAGTAATCATTTACAACATATAAGACGTTAAACTATAATTTTTTCCTATTTTCGTGAAAATGTAATAAAAACAATTTCATTTAAAAAATTGTATTTTATGAAACTCTTTTATTTTACAAATAACACCACTGAGACGGGTACGAGGTCTGTCGATACTGTTTTTAATTTTCATTGATGTAATATGGAATGAAAATTCACAGGTTTTAATTGTTCACAGTGGAGTTACTTTTAATAGTTCCATTTTAAAAATTAGCTTAACTTCAGGGAAGATTTCAAGGAATACGATCATATTTAAAAAAATTCTTTTTACCTCCAACTCTCCGGGTGAAATTTGCAAATGAAAATTTTGTTTATAATTTTCCACATTATAAAAATGATTTTACATTTACAAAAATATTATTCCATTAGGCGGACTCTTCTGTAATAAAATAGTCGAAAAATAAACTCGATACGATCAATATTTGTAAGTACAACGTTGCTCGTATTTTGCGACGTAAGAGTCTTGGACTGTGTCCGTTTGTTTTCCATTTCAACGGGAGACAGAAAGACAGACCATGTTTGTCTGGAGACACTCCGCACTCACTCACAGAGCTCTGTAGTGTAGGAGCCCCGTGTCTTCGAAGTTGAGAACGCGAGAAATTGTCGGCAGATAGTCGGAATCCTGTCCGCAGACCGTCCCTGGGCATCGAAAGACTGTTCGCGGACCCCTGTCCGCCGGCAAATGTCCTAGGTGTAGACGGCCCTTTAGTCACGACGTGTTTGACGTCTATAAAGAAAACTTTTCAACCATTTGACCACAGACGAAGTACTTATAGTAGTAGACATTTCATCCAATGTATTTTTACGGCCCACTTTTTTTTGGTTACGCTACTCCATTACCATTTTAGTGTCACTATACACCATAGATTTGCCGTTCCCATAACGTGGAGATCACTAAAATCACAGGCTTTTTAAGGTGTCGGTACTTCTTATACCTCGTCGGTGATTTTATATACGTACCATTTTCTCTTCCCTGTGCACCTGCAGCGTCGTATACCTGAAATAGACAAAGGAACCGTTGTCTTTCAGGCGGGATGCGGTCCCTTTCTAACTTTGGACTATACCTGCCGGATATGATTTTTGCCTGTTGCGTATATACTTGGTCTTTTCTAGGAATTATGAACCTGTTCGGCTGGCGTTTTTTTTCAGTTAATACATCATTTACTTACTTCTTTTACCTTGGCTCGATGCAGATTTCTTTAAAATTTGACACTTCTATAAAGTTGACCTTGGGTTATTCAACAGATATAAGTGAGCTCGGGATTCGATCAGTTTTAGTTGCGTTTATGCTGTATGCTTGCAATATTCATGCTACGGAGGTCCAAGCATTTTATTATTTCATTTTTATCGAAAAGGTTAGTACAGAATTATTTGTTTAATATTGCACTCAACGAAAGTGTTGGCTACTGCTGGGTAAGTTGACTGAATCTTTTCAAACTAACTCATTGCTACCATATCGTAGATTAAATAAATTGTCATTTATTATTGTAAAATAGTAATCATTGATTGTTATTAATCGTTGATAATCGTTATAAACTATTTAAGATTGATTTGATCACAATTCAAATAATCATTTGTGGAGAATAATTTTTCGTTGACAGTTTAAAATTTAACCATAAGTCAGAAATTTCATGCTTACAGAAAAATTAGATTAGTTTCTTCATAATTATAATTCACTATTTATTAGATCTTTCAATTGTCTATTTGAATATATAGGATATACATCTAAGCTTTGAACCTAAAATATTTTCGTTACTCCTTTAATAATTCGACAGATCATCCGAGGAATATCTTGTAATGTAAAAGATTTGTGAAAGTTATTCGGAGGTCAATGTACTATAACATATGATTGAATGTTAATAATGGAAATTTGTCATTTTGTTAAACAATACAAGTGACCTTGAAGTCTTGGAAAATATGACTGAGGAGAAAAGCTGTATTACAATATAATACATATATATGCTTCTGTGAAACAAGTATAGGTATATTCTTTCCTATAAAGCAATCCATATAAATCTATATTTGTATGAACATCTGCAGTATACTGTCTAGTGGGAAGTTATCAAAGATAAGAGACGATATAGGTCTTTTTTAGGCTAACAGATTAATACTGATAAGCTTTTGACGTTTGCATTGGCTCTTTGACAGCATTTTAAATGTACAGTTATTCGTACAAATATTCTCTATATTTCCACTAAATATATATTGAAACAAAACATATTATGCTATATTAGGCTAAGGATTCTGGTTGACAAGAATGCAATAAGTTTTTACTCCTTACATATAACAGTATAAATAATTAAAAAAAAACGGGATAATTTGACAAAAACGTTCAGACACTGTACAAATTAAATATATGATAATTAAATATCGATATACCCTGATAACCAGTTGAATACAAGTTTCGAGCAAATTTCCAGTAAATATTGACAAAAGTTGTCTAAAAAGCAATAGCTATCTGTTTTTGCATTTGGCTTGGGTTTTGCAGGCAACACTTGCTGACAAAATGGTAAAGCAAATTGGCAGCAAGTCTTGCAAGATAACCTGTGTCAAATTGGGGCCAAAAATGGAACAGGAGTCTGCGCGAGCCAATTTGTCACCCATGTTGCTGCCAATGTGCGCGCAAGTTGTTTATAAGCAAATCTTGCATCAAACTTATAGCCATAACTTTATAACATGTATTGGACAAAATTTGGCTCGCAGGTTTGACTGACTGGGATAATTAACCTTCAAATTTGAGAAAATTCTCCACTTACTAAGATATTGTTACTGTTAAGTAATAGTACTCTCCATACTTAACTACTTTTGTGAATAAACTTTTTTGATATTTCTTGCTACAACCACCGACTAGGTATAGGATAGACCTATCATCTTATGGGACTTCGTGTCTCATGTTCTGAAATACCGATAGTGTAAAAAGTCAGGGATTTTCTGCTGCCCTCTACGTTATGAGAACG